CTGTGTAGGAGGGACTGTGTTTAAAATCTTTCTAGCCCATTATACTTTTAAAGAATTTAGTATCAACATTTTGTGCTTTCTGGTTGCCAACCCCACCCTTTTAAGCTTAGTAAGTCAGGGTAATATCCATAAACAAGCCCTAAACTTTGATAAGAGTGTATAAGTTCTTAGAGTCTTTTTTCTTTTTTAATAGAGAGGGAGTCTTGCTCTGTTGTCAGGGCTGGAGTACAGTGGCATGTTCATAGCTCACTGCAGCCTCAAACTCCTGGCTCAAGTGATCCTCCTACCTCAGTCTCCTGAGTAGCTGGGACTACAGGTATGGACCACCACAACCTAACTTTTCCATTTTTTTGTAGAGATGGAATCTGGCTATGTTACTCAGGCTGGTCTTGAACTCCTGGCCTCAAGTGATGCTCTCACCTTTACCTCCCAAAGTGCTGGGATTACAGTTGTAAGCCCCCATGCCCAACCATTCTTAGAGTCTGAATAGGTAAAACATTACGTAGTCTTGATAAATCTAAGAATTCTGGTAGAATTTATTTCTTTAAGTGCTTTCATAGACTCCATCAATTACTAATGCTTATCGATCAGTTATTGTCTGTCAGATACTTAATACACACTAACTCATTTAATCTTCACAATCCCCTTTTTGGGTAGATACTCATTACTATGAGGAGAAAACTAAAACAGAGCATGGAAGTCACTGCTCAAGGTCACCGAGCTGGTAGAAAATCATAAAGCCAGAAATTAAATCCAAGTTGTCTCATTTCGGAACCTACTCTTAACCACTATGCCATCCCATCTTTCCAGAGCTATGCTATAGAGTACTTATAATTATTGTCTATGTAAAATTTAAGTCCAAGAACTGATCTAATACAGATGTTCTTGACACTTTAGCTCTGGCTCCTCAACTCGTTCACACAGCCCTCACCTTTGTAGAGTTGTTCATCAACCATTGACAAATTGCACCACTCTATCGATGATGGACCCTTCCAGTAGGCCCAGCATAAGCAATGACTTCGTTTAACCCAATGACAGTACTAACACTGTGGGAGCTCATGAGGCCTTGATGAATAGTAGAGGTGCAAAAGTCCATTAGTTTGGCTGTTCTTACCTGCTAGACTGTCCCAAATCTCAAGACCAATCCAATGGGGACCCTGCAGTTGCCCCTGTCCCTCTTCTTTTGAATTCAGACTCAGACATGTCATCTGGGTTGAATGTTGTTGACAACTGATTTCTCCTATATTTGAAGAAGACAGAACACACATTGCCTTATTAATATCTAAGGAGGCCTTAGACTTGCTAATCAGAACACTTTTAGCTGGCACATATATTTGAGCCTATCCTCTTTGTATGTCATTAACTTAGACATACAAGTTTAAACTTTAACTGAGACCCAATGAGTTAATGAATCCCAAATCACAACCTTCCTTCCATAAGAAGAATACAAAAGTCTTACAATTCCATACCCATTTTCAGCCAGTTTTCCAATTATCCCTACGTTTGAGCCACATGTAAGACAAGGCCCAATCGACTTGTTCACTCTTTTACTTACTTTCCAAAGAGTTTCATGAAACCTCTGGATTTCCTTTTGGAATCCAGAGATGGCAGAGATCCCAGAAAGGCACTATTCCCCTGTGAACCTTTCGGCTGAGAAGATGTAGCCAGATCTAGGTGCTCCGATGTCTCCTTTTCTGTTTCAGCTGTTCCAAGAACAGAACAAAGACTTGATGAATTTTTAAATATAGTATGAACATGATTTGATGTTAATTTCGTGGTGTTAGCAACTGTTAAGAATTCTTCTTCTGTTGGTCTATAAATAAGTGATTTACAAAGAATACCCTGTAAATATTAAAAATGGAACACAAATGTATATTCTACTCTATAGTTTATTGTGAGTAAGTTAATAAACTTAAAATTGCAACTCCTTTGAAGATTAAAAGAGTGTGAAGGATTGTCATATTCTTTCCTCAAGTGATTTGAATTCATAATGTTAACAAAATTAGTCTCAACATTGCTGTGGCACTTGGTATCATTGAACTACCTCCTGCATCCTTCCTCCTTTAAAATCATCTCCTTTAGTGTCTCGTCATGATACTGTCCTTCTCTTAGATCTGTCAACTGATAGTTCCTTCTTTGCTGTAGCTCTCCTGTTTTCTTTTCCTCCTCCATTCTGCTCCAAGATTCTGTTCTAAGTTCACTCTGCAGGATCTCTCGACAAGCTCACCCAACTCTAAGCTCAGCACTAAAATAATGGCTTTACTCATTTATAAGTAGGTGGCATTAAAATGACTGGGCCTCGACTCTCTCTCCAGCCTCAGTATCTGAATGTGCATATTACCAATTCAGTGTGCCATTCTTGTGATGAGAATTTACAATTTAATAATCTAAAGTGACCACCTAATAAAGTACAGAATTGTCCTTCTCCGGCTGCAGAAGAGGAAGGTAATGGCTTTCCAGGTACAGTAATGAGTTGTGAATTCCTTGCGGTCCTGGGCCTGCCTGGCTGTGCTACTCTCTCTTTGATGCTAAAATTATGCATTGAATAACATCAGTTTCTTTACAGATTTTGGAGGATTTTAACAAGATAACAAATTAAAAAGTGCATTCTTACTTCTATCGAGAATTTCAATCCCTTCTCTTTTCATCTTGCAAACAAATTTTTCTTGTAGCCTTTTTACTTCAGATTCTTTTTCTTCCAGTTGTTCTTTTAAAGATGCCAGTTCATCCTGTGAATTATAAATTCATTTTAAAATAACAGATTATGACTAAAAGAGAATATTCAGAGAGCATCTGAGCTCTTTAAATCAATAACTAGATTTTACAGATGAAGCAACAATCTATAAGAATTTAGACACAAACATCAGAAATCAGGGGCAATGAGAAGCAGGAAGCAAGACTATTAATAGAAGTTCAATTAATAATAGTTATGCTATAATTATTTCAAGTTTCTTTGTGATCAAATTAAAAATAAATCTTTTACAGTGTAATTAAGGCCAAGAGAGCCCTAAAGATTAAATCGTATGTTTAAATACTGAAAAACTCTCTCTCTTTCTCTCTCTCTCTCTCTCTCTCTCTCTCTCTATATATATCTCTCTCACACACACAC